GATAGATAGATAGATAGATGATAGATAGATAGATGATAGATAGATAGATAGATAGATAGATGATAGATAGATAGATGATAGATAGATGATAGATAGATAGATAGATAGATAGATAGATGATAGATAGATGATAGATAGATAGATAGATAGATAGATAGATAGATAGATAGATAGATGACAGATGCATAGGTAGATATATAGAGTACAAGAGGTACTATGAAGGAGAGAATGGTCTAAAGAAAAGAGGGGCAGGATAGAGTGATAGAGGAAGAAAGATAAAATATCCCCTCTTCCCTCATATACAGTATACACACGTATGTATCCTTTAGCCTGCGCCAGATGATGATCTTGAGGGCCAGTCTTGGGGCAGCACTTCTCTCTTGTCTCCACGTGCGCAGGTGATATATTCCGTAATCTTCTGCTGTTGGCTGAAAGCAATTCATTTACACTTGAGCTCAGAAGCCTTTGGAAAAGGTCTGCTCATCTCCTGTCGCTGCTCGCTGAACTCACCAGCATATCTCTGAACTGCGGAAGACCACAATCTTTCTCCTTAAAGACAAACACGGTGTCGGAGACCGGCGTGCTCTCTCCTTTCTCACTGCGTGACAAGCCCCTGCACTTGAGCAGCCTAGGACCCTTGCCTTCATGGGTTATGTGCATATCTCTCCCTAAACAATGCACCTAGCAACCTGTTAGCAACCTAGGACCTCTGCCTGCTTTCAGATGCACACATGCCTCTGACTTCAAATGGTGGGATAAATTTCTCCTCCTCTCAATGAGGCAGGATGGTTTCTATTCAATTATATGCCATGGGTAGAGCGGCCAGTGTGGCCTGAACTGGCTTGGGGTACATGTAGCAAACTGTCCTCTGAGTGCTTTCAGGGAGAATTTGTTTCTAGCTTATGCCTATGCATAATTGGTGTGCATGTGATTAAAATCAAATGCATTATGGGACAGAATATGCACAGTAGAGAAATAATTATATAACTTGAAAACTGACAATTGAAATAGAGAACCATCCAAATTAACAACTAAGCACCTCCTTTTCTTGAACCCCATGAAAGGAGACCCCAAAAATAATCAATATCCTTTAATATGTTCACTCACAGGGCCCAGTGTCGGTCTTGACAGTATTTATTTCTGATTGGTACAGTCTCTTTGCATGGGATAAAGTTAACCTTGCTACTTCTGTAAGTTTGTATGAGTGCTCACTTCAGTCTTACCAATAAGAGACCAAAACCCCAGAAACACCTGCCCCAGACCCACCTAGTGACAGAAACCCCTCTGGAAACACCTTTACAAATACAATGGATGTCTTAGGGTTTCTATGGCTGCCATGAAACGCCATGAACAAATGCAACTTGGAGAGAGGAAAGGGTTTATTCAACTTAGACTTCCACATCACTGTTCATCAACAGGGAAGTCGGGACAGGAACTCAAACAGGGCAGGAACCGGAAGACAGGAGCTGATGCAGAGGCCACAGAGGGGTGCTGCTTACTAGCTCGCTCCTTATGGCTTGCTCAGCCTGCTTTCTTACAGAACCCAGGACCACCAGCCCAGAGGTGGCACCACCCACCATGGGCTGAGCTTCCCCCATCAATCACCGATGATGAAAATGCCCTACAGGCTTGGCCTACAGCCGACCTCATGGAGGCGTTTTCTCAACTGAGGCTTCCTCTGATGACTCTAGCTGTGTGGAGTTGACTTAAAACCAGCCAGCACAATGGATGTTTGTCTCCTGGGTAATTCTACATCAGCCATGTTGACAATGAAGATGAATGTGCCCAGGCCCCATGCGTCAGGCCTCTCAGAGTAGGCCCTGTGACTTGAGTCTTGTTGGCTGAGGGTAAGGACCTCATAAAGAGACAGCCTCAACCACAATGGCACTGCTGCAGGCTGGAGACCTCTGTGTGCCGTCTGAATCTGCACATGCTTAAAGAAGAATTGCACGCTACTAAGACACTATGCTCTTCAGTATGGCTCATCTGACAATGGGTCTCACTTCTCCCAATAATTTCTTATAAAGACTATGAGTATTTGGGGATGCGATTTCACTTACTAACAGTGAGTGAGAGAACATATCCTCTGAACTTAACCAAATATTTAAAATTAGGGCTGAAAATGAGAGTTTTGAGACTGGGAGCAATAGTTTCCCACTGAAGAGTAGCATCATTCCTTCGAGAACTCTTAAGCACGTATGCAAGCAAATTAATATGGAGCATTACCCTAGTCCAGCACCCAAGGGGACCTGTGGAATGGTACAGAGAGGCTCATACTACCACTTAGATCTACTTCTCTGTAAAGTAAATAAAAACGTGTTTTGCCCAGACAGATGTCATATTATTTTAAATAAAGCCATATGTGCCATTGTGGTTTATGCAATATACATTCATTTAAAGGCCATTCCGAGATGGGTGATCTACTTACTTCATTGGTAACAGTGCTTGAATAATGTGGTAAGGCCTTGAGGTTCCTTCTCCAGCCTGATGGAAAGAAAGAAAGATACTGCAATCATGGTAGCTAGCTAATTTTTTATTTAAGAGATAGTAAAAGCCTGCTGGGTATGGTGGCACATGCCTGAAATCCCGACACTCAAGAGGCTGAATAAGAGCACAAATGTGACCTAAGGAGGTGGCTCATTGGAGAAGTGTTCCACGTGCAATCCTGGTGACTTGGGTTTGAATCCCCACAGAACCCACTTTTTTTTTTTGTTTTGTTTTGTTTTTGGAGGCAAGGTTTCTCTATGTAGCTTTGCGCCTTTCCTGAAACTCACTCTGTAGACCAGGCTGGCCTCGAACTCACAGAGATCTACCTGCCTCTGCCTCCTGAGTGCTGGGATTAAAGGCGGACGCCACCACCGCCCGGCCAGACCCCACATTTAAAAGCCAGTTTGCAGCACCCACGTGGCAGCTCACAACTGTCTGTAATTCTAGTTCCAGGGGATTCAAAACCTTCTTCTGACCTCCATGGGTACCAGGCATGCATGAGATGCACGGAGATGCATGCAAGCAAAATACTCATAATAACCCTTTTAAAAGCCAGATATAGTAACATATTTGTGTTCCTTGTGCTTCTACGGGGATAGGGATAAAAATGGAATTCCCACAGCAAACAAGGGACCCTGCTCCAAATGTGGTGGACAACGAGGACCAGCATCCGAGGTTGTCCCCTAGTCTCCACATGCGGCATGTGGGCACCGCCACCCCATACACACTCTGTGCACTCGAGGTCACCCTGGACTGTGGATGACCCTGTCTGAGACAGAGGGAGGACATGAGCCAAGCAACCTCGTTCATAAATGATTCCCAAACAAGCACACAAAGGGAACTGTTACATGTGCAGCTCTGGGCTGCCTGTGGTCGTCTTCCCAGGTCTTCAATGCCAACTGGAGTATGTCCTCCAAAAGTTCTGGGCTACCTTAACTTAGATGTAAGAGTAACTTTTTTTTTCTATTGACAAAGTATCACCTGAACTTTTTTCATATGTCTTATTTTGGGGGAAATTTATGACATTTTTAACTTTAGGAAGTTTTGCTTTCCCTGACATTTTATTACTTTGCATATTTGAAACATTTCAACCCCAGACAATAAATATTATGCGCTTATTGTTTTCATATGAACAGGCTATTTCCTCCTGAATTTTCTAACCCCCTTTTCCCAGCTTATGATAGTAAAAATTTATTAGTAACAGCTTTTCCAGAATTGCACACAGTGAACATGGAAAGGAAGGAGCAGCAAGAGAAGAGGCCAGTGGTAAAAATGAACGGAGGTGTGTGGCTTTCTCCCTGATGAGTCCCAGTGTTTTCTTGTTCAGTTGAAATGAAGATTATATTTATTCTATAAATCATTTTTATGATCTGTCGTAACCAGTTATCCTATTCAATGGGAAACAAAATGAATCTCAGTAAGTCAGATGATGTTAGCACACCACAAGCGAGCCTTCGTGGTTTGAAAGCACGTACTGTCTGCTAACAAACCGTTTCGCTGATATATTTTACAGTCTCCTTCACCTAGAACATAGACTCTGCAGTCAGGAGCTGAAGTCCTTCCTGCCCACTGCTGTTTCCTGCCACGCAGAACTGTGCCTAGCACCATAGTCCCTGTCCAGTCAACATCTGCAAACTGAATAGAAGAATGTTCAGTGCCTCTGCAAACCCCTGCAAATCTGTTCCCATCCTGCCTCAGCTCCCAACAGGAAACCTCCCCAGAAGTCCTCAGAACTTCTTCCACTGTTTTTCAAGATGGCCTTTTAAAAATCTTGTGCATTTTGGGACCAAGATGGCTTGGTAGGTAAAAGTACTTGTCACAAAAGCTTGGCAACGTGAGTTCCATCCCCAGAGCCTCCGAAGGAGGGAAGAACTGATTCCTCACCCTTGTCCTGTGACCTCCATGCATGCTCTGTGGCATACTCACACACATTTACAATAACAATTAAATGTTGTTTTTTCTTTTTAAGTTTTACATTGGGGGCTGGGGAGAGAGCTCAGCGGTTAAGAGCATTGGCTGTTCTTGCAGAAGACCCAGATTCAATGTGAGCACCCACGTCAGATCGCTCACAATCCTCTGAAACTCCAGTTGCAGAGGATCTGATGCCCTCCCTGGCCTCCTCAGGAACCTGCATGCCCATGGTCTTCATACAAATAAACAGGCATGCATACACATAACCTTTTTTTTTTTTTTTTTTGGTTTTTCAAGACAGGGTTTCTCTGTGTAG